ACACACACTTATTATCATACCAAATTACTTACAGAACTGTTTCTTGACACTCACCGAGAAGTTTTTATAAAGACTCTAAACTTAATTTTTCGCTTAATAACATGTTAGGCAAGAAAAATATACAAAGATATTTTACTTAACTTTTTTTTTTATATCAGAGTCGCTCCTGTTGATCTTTTGTTTATGGTATGTGACTTTACAGTCAAGAAAAGTGATTTAAACATTATCTGTATTTTCCTATGTGCAACAGTGATTGAACTGTTGCTTAACCAACGTCAGAAAAAATATTTTTGAATTCCAGAAAATTTTGCCAATTAAGTGATTTAGTTTCATGATAAGGTAAATCGTCTCGTATCTTCTGCATATTGGCGTCATATTCTTTTCAAACGTTAATTACAAGAGAAAAATTTATACGGATAACATCGATGTTATGCCTAAGTATTGGTAGAGTAAAAATCACACTACAAATATACAGATTTAATTGAAGCGAAGCTTCTTCCATGAGGCTTACAGAATTGTGTTCGTTCTCAAAATCCGTTTGTTGGATTTTGATTAAACTTTGCCATTTTCCATTAATTGAGACAAGAAACATCCATACGTACTACAGAAAAAATCTCTGAATGTTTCTGCATTTCTCGACGTTTCAAGGTCCCCTAAGTCCAAAAATTTTTAAATCTTCGGGGGAATGGTCAGTTTTTGACCGATTGCCATACTTTCCCTCTATTATCTATAAAACAGCCAAGAAAATAAAAATAGGAGTCCGTGACTTCGTTTTCGATATACAAAGTTATTACAGTGACAATGTCCATGCTCTCTGATGCAATTGATCCCGCCTAACCGAATTTAGGCCTAGGGGTCACAAATAAAAACAGTATTAAGTGCACCTAACGGAAAATAGGCGCGTAAAACGAACATAGCACAAGAACAAAGCAGTGGCCGTCGATTGGTTTGTTCTTGGATCGTCTCTCCGTACCTGGCCAGTGCAAGGATCGTGTCTCCTGTGGCCTGCGGGTACGAGGATAGCCTCTTTTGTGGCGGCAAATGCAAAGTTTATCTGTCCGCGTCCGTCAAGAATCGCTTCTTCAGTGCTTAACGGGTGCAGGGATCTCTTCTTTCCTTCCTGCTCCTCTTCAATTCTATCGCGATACGACAAAGTCGCGCGATATCCTAGTCACAAAATAAATAAGAAGAATAATAGTATTTTTGGTCTTCTTAAGCTATTTTTTGAAATTTATTCGATTCGAATACCCTACTGAAAGAATTAGGTAGCAAGATGTCGAATGCATTTGTAGAATATCATCAATTTAATCCAAAAAACTTACTCATTTGTTATAATGAGTCATTGTTCTTGACTCGTTGTCTTTCGGTCAGAGTGAGTGCTTCAGTTTAACCTATTCCTTACTTTTCCCCGTCTATGTAACCTATCTGCCTTTGATACTTATCTATCTATCACACGATTCAATCAATCATATCATTTTGTAGTTGATGCACGGCATTTCATAATTTACTCCTAAGTTACATCGACTAAAGTCTGAATGTTCCATTACATAATTGGAAAATAGGCCTGTCAGGTTTCGAATATTCATACTGTTTTCCATCAACTCGCAGAAAATAGCACGACAGTCTAAGTTCAAACCGGCGTTGAAAAAGCGCAGATTATACGTCATCTTTGTTTTTTTTTCTTTTTACAGAGTTGTAATAGATAGAAGTTTCATGTTTGGTAACGATCGTTACTTCTCGGATGACGGTAATTACGACACAAACTCCGTAACGAGTCATAAGCGCAGGTAGCGTCACGCGCCAGATTCTCGATTCGGTCGGTCGAACATGGCAAAAACTGGGCAAAGAGTGAAATTCCGACAAACCACCGACTATTAAACTCTCGTCGGAAGACCACCGACGTCGAGGGATGTGGTCGTCGGCCGTGGTGAACAGGTGGCACCCAGCTTAATTACCGCAGATTTTCCGGAGAAGCCGCCGACAGCCCGCACCACTTTAATGGAAAAATAATTGGTGTAAAATTAAAAGGCGAATCGTTACCGTATTAAAATCGATAGGACGCCTTTCTCTACACGACCCGAGGCAGCGGACCACGAATGACGGTCGCAGATACACATTCGTTCGATGCATTTTTCGCTTTTATCACTTTGGTCCCGGAAAAGAACAAAAGAGACGAGTAAATGTCCGTATGAATTGCAGATATGACACTGGTTGAAGTGAGTGAATCAAAGAATCAATCTAGCACTATTTACATTCTTCAAATCGATCCACACTGTTGAATCTCCAACCGAATTCGATTTCGGATCCCAACACTTGGTATTTGACCATTTATGCGATGCTTCTCGATTATCAGATATTAGATAAACTATGTGTATATATACTCACATTTACAGTTTATTTTAAGTAAACGTTTCTGAATCTCTTATTTAAGAAAACTTATCTTGTTATTTCTTTCAATTGTTTTCTTCAACTTTCAATTATATTTATATATATATATAGTTTTGTTAACTTTAAATATTTTTGTGTGATTATGCTATTTTTTTCTAGTATATTTCTTTTCCATCGTATAATTTACGACATCGTTTCTTCCACTATGGCACATCACGAATGTCTTCGATAATAGATTTATGTTAGCTAACTTTGATAAGATCATTTGCCTAAATCGCATGGAACATCGCATCCAATAAGTCTATAGATTTTCGAAAAATGCCAGCGTATTCAAACAACCCACACTCTTCTAAAGATTCATTTAATTTTAATTTTAAAAATTCTATCGTTTCAATAATTGATGACTTTGACGTATCGTTGATGATGCTGCGTAACTTATTCCGCATTGTCATAATTTTTTAAATAATACACCACTCTTTGATTTATGCTATCGAATGCCTTTCTCACTTCCACAAACAATACAATCACTATATCACACTCAGCCAAGTCATTTATTATCTGTTCGAGGAAATCAATCAAAAATTCTTTGATACCTGCATTCCTTTTAGAGAAATTCTTTATATTTAAATACTTTATTAATCCATTTGCAAATAACTTCACAAAAATTTTTACAAATATTTCCAGGTTATTGATGGAAACGTAATTCTGACAAAGGCTAGAGTCATTCTTTTTAAGCATTGTCTAGATAATTATTTCTTTTTACTGATTTAAAAAATAACTTATGTATTCATTTTTTTTCCTTTATCTATAATCAAGAGTTCTTGGAAATTACTAGAGAATATGAATTTCTTTTTAATATGTTATTGACATTATTCCCTTTAATTAATTTTGTAATAAATCGAAGTTTCGATTGGCGAATCCCCGAAAACACCCTTTACGCAACTATTCGGCGATATAAAACGACAGTAAATTAATAGTGGACTAATTTAAATATGTTAATAATTTAAAAAAAAAAACCACTAGAATTAATTGCTGTGGAATTCGGTTTTCATTTCTTGTTTCATTTAAAGAAATAATAATTTAACAATATTGGATAGGAAGCAGGTAATGATACTTGTAATAGATTTGATAATGAGCAAGGAAAATCTCCATTAGATTTTTTTATTTCATTTTATTAATTTACATCCCTTGTAATTCTTTTACAAAATGATCCATAAAAGGTATTCTCTCTAGACTAAATTATTTCAGATTTTCTGTATTATTTTAGTAACTGAAAAAAATTATTTAAATCATTAAACATATTTTTGCAATATTAGGCATATTTATAATTTTCTTTCTTTCTTTTTTATGTTTCAATTGGATAAAAATCTACTTTAAAAAATTGGAATAATTATAAGCTCAATTTATTTTTTCACGATCAGATCTGTGATAATTTATCCAAAATGCTATTCAAATATTTACCGTACCTGTAAGATTTAAATAATTTAATCTTGTTATACTTTTTCTTCTTCATTTATTTTATTAAGTACTTTATTTATAGCATGTATAATTTATATTGTGAGTTTTAGAAAATTTTTCTCTTTTGTATGTTTTAGTAACTCATAATCTATGATAGATTTTTTTTGTTTGTTTTTATTTCTTGAAGATATTATCTGTTTATCATGATATTTTATTATTCCCGAATGGCGACTTTTTCTTTTTTCAATGCGAGTGCATACGTATTCGCCGTTACATAATTTATAAGTTACTTCATGATAAATATTTTGGCTATATATCGTAAAGAGAATACTTTGACATAATGTCGACCTGTTGAAAAACCAAAATAAAATCTATACCGCGCATAATATTCAAGAAAATCTCGAAATATCCCATCAAAATCATCACTTTTATGATATATTTTCCATATGTAAACATCATTTTTTGATGCTATTATTAAAATATATAGTTGTTATATATTATATTTCATAGTTAATGTTTTGTCGTATTTGAATTGTGGTTAATTTTTTTAAAATTTTGTAACATATTACGTCTATGTAATTTATTATTAATCGTTTTATTAAATGGCACATTTGCACATTTTTTGAAGTGTTTCACCATTTTCACATTAAACATGTTATTGACATTTGCGTTTAGCTTCTTTTCAAAAGTTCGATATTCGAAATTGGCCATTTTAAACCGAGTAAATCGGTCGATCCGGACCAACTTAAGGAATTTCGATCGCGCTCTTTCTCCTTCGTTTCCCACGTCTCACTTACTTGAATAAATTTCGTCGTTAAGTGTAAACCGTGGTTGACTTTGAAGGCCGTTAAACAGACCTCGGGGTCGACCAGCCGGAAGAAACGCTAAATATCTTATTATCTTCATCATTACTATTAGCTTACGTTGTCATCACCCCCCAAAAACTGTACAGAGAGCGTAATTTTAGAGAAGTCATCTTATAATAATAATAATAATAAAAATTAAAGGTTTCTCGTCCGGTTTTTATGCAGGTTCTAATTGATTTTTATCGTCTTGTTGATTTTACATTGGAATTGTAATAAAAGTCGGGGGAGAAACATAAACGAATTATTCTTAAGAGTGCCACGATTACAATAAACTGTTTTCTTTTACAGGGAACAAAGCATTTCAGAGACGACGCCAGTAGGAATTTTCGGTCGAAAGGTAAGTGCAACTATTGTTTATCCAAAGTTTATTATCGTTCGACCAATTTAATGTTTCTCACCCGCCGAGAGCAGTCTGGGTCAACGTCCGCGTCGGAAGAACTTCCAGGCTCTTTTGGAGGACGAGTGGAGCCTTACGGCCGCATTCTCGTCCACTGACAGTACACAGCTTCGACACTTTAATAATAATAATTTATTATCTCATTCATTTTATGACGTCCTTAACTCGGGACTGATTCTTTACTTACGAATTCCTTTCATCTATCAGAGGAGACAGAAACTGGAGAAAGCCTGGCGAAAAAACTTGTGAGAAAAGAACCGTAAAGTATACTAAATACGCGAATAAAGTGTGGAATAATTTTAATGCGTTATGGGACGTCCCGATTGAAATTTATATCTTATCTAAATTTAAACGCGTGTTATTAACAAATTCTAATATGTCCCAAATAATTGGATAGATAGTGAAAGAATAACTTTTGTTCATTAATATATCCATTTTGTTCGGTTTACTTATTACGTGGACTATTTCGAAACGGTACTTTCCGAGCTAGCTTTTGTTTCAGTCGAGAGGTGATGGATGGCACTCTCTTCCGCTCCAATTATTTCTGTCTTTCTTTCTCTCAATGCTTTTAATTTGGAAATTCTTTGTCGATAATTTATCGGTTACTTGTGTTGTCCAGATTCCATCGGCTTCTATTTGGACGTTCCTGTCTGTCGCACTTCTTCGTTTATAAAAATTTCACGAGTGTGGTTTGGCATCGGCTTCACGTCTAATGGCCGGTCCGTAATGGATGGAAAAATGGGCGATCCTCGATCGACGATGGTCTTAATGGACGTGTCGAACATCCCTATTGTACTTCTTTCACTGCCCGTTCGGACCGTAGTTTGTTCGGAGGTCGGAGGTAGGCCGATGTTTTTACCATGGCCCGAACCTGTTTCGATCCCAGAAAATCGACACTTTTTCTACAGAAATTTCATTTAGTTCGCTTATGTCCAATAAAACTTATCGGAGAATTTTCGGACTCGACTGGGGATCGGTCGAAAAGGAATTTTAATTACTGCTCTGCAACTTTTGTCGTCTTCTTGCTCTTTACGGATAAGTCGGAACGATCGATCCGACCGATCTATAAACTTAATTCTCTTCTGTTTCACATTGTGTTCCTCTTTCACTTTACGTGACCTAGACCCTAGCCTTTCTTACTAGTATCCTGTCTAATGACATTGCCAACAAAATATTTGGGCTGGTTCCAACCATTATCTGAATTTTCTTATTTGATAAATTTCAAACTTTTCATAGTTTTCTCTTATTTTCAATCAGAAAGACCGTTTTCCAGTTTTTATTAAGAGAGTAAAATTTATCTATTAAACGTAACTAAAGTCTATTCTTATATTTTGTCATCTATATCATTCCATATTCTAGAATTTAAGTATCGTTAAAATTATTTCTAAAGATATTTTCATTTTAAATACTTTTAATATTTCTTTCCGTGAAGTAAATATTCGAAGTGATTAATCTAAGTAAGTTTTCTTTTAGTTGTTGATGATGAAAAGTGCAGACTTTTATCGATTTAGGAACAGACAATTTAATAAATATGAAAATTTTTAAAAAGTCAGTATGTAAAAAAGTGAAGTGGGAAAAGTATTACTTTCCTCAGATTTATACTCTTTTAAAATTCCTACATCTAGACTGCGTGACGTCTTCATTATTATCTTTTTTTTTTTTTTCTTCTTCTTCTTATCGATCTTCCTTCGTGTCTATTTTGCGTCTTTTGACATTCGAAGAGATCGACGACTTTCTTGTTTATTTTCTGTCCAATTTTTTCTCCGTCTTTCTTGACGTCCGATTTAAAACGTTCCTTATATTGAAACGTTCGCCCTTTACAGTTATCTATGAGAATAATTATTTGTCTTTTATACATGACATGCCTCTCTATACTCTATAGAATTTACTTTGCAGGTGGTCATTGTTCTTTTACCGAATCGTCGTGTGTCTTAAATTTTCCACTTTTATGTTTTATAATATTAAATTTTAGAATTTTTACGAGTTTATATTATAATATTCTAGACACCGTCGGTAAAATACAACTTCCATAATCGATCTATAAAACTATTATTTATAAAAATAAGTGAAACCTGTGTAAACCGAGCTAGTACGGTATCGAATATTTTTTTGGACAGGTTTTACTGTCCAAACAGGAAAAATATAATGAATTTTTCTTCAATTCCTTATACAACACTTAATTTATTAGTATACAATACGGATTTGTCTACATTATTACATATAATTTTCTATCTTTTAAGTTTAAAACTTAAAATTATTTAAATGTATAATTTTAAATAAGTGGATAACCTTTTGATTATTTTACTATAAACAATTCAATCTTCTACAATCTAACTTCTTGTCATTGTGTCAAAGATTTGCAGGATGCACGCAATGGAAAAATTGAACTTTTTTGTCAGATCAAAAGAAAATGGACATATGTCATAAACAATGCGGCAAGTACTGCGTATTAGAACGATTTATTTTTTTATTACATTTTCAAGAATACGGATAAAACCTGCAGTCTGTATTTGAATGTATTTTCTTATATTTACTAACCTTTTTTTTTTATCGTTTTAAACTTCCTATCTTCGAACTATTTCCGTAATTTAAAAGGCATTTTGTAAACTGGTTGTAGGTCAAAAATCTATAATTTCCTCTGCTATCATAACTTGGAATAATTCCAAATTTCCAACAGTTTTATTATAAAGTGAGGATTTATTAAATCCTTCTTTTACGATAAAACAGTTATAAATAACATAAAAAGATATATTTAATCTGTTATTATTTTATTTATTAAATGTGAAATAATTAATAGATTTAAAATATAATTTTAATATTGTTTTAATTATTTTATGATTAGTGTTTAATTTCAGTTAGTGTGTTATTTATTTTATTTATAATATTTTTTAGTTTTTCCCTTCATTCTAGTATGATTTAAATATTTATTTAGCGTTAAACGAAACATCTGTGTTTCGAAATTTTAAATTATTTTAATATTTCTATAGAAAAATTTACAAAAAAATTATTTCAATTAGGATTGGCATGCATAATGAGATAATTATTAAGAAATTTAACTTAAATTCTTAAATTTAATACAGTGTTAATTGAGTAAGCTTATATTTTGCATATAAATAACTGAAATAATTTAAATTTCGATTCTGTATCATAAACTTAAACCTTTAGTTCGAATAAGTTTAAACTTCCGATTCAAAACCAATGTTTCTGGTTAATAAATCGAAATATTTGAGTATAAAAAAATTATAAATGAGCACAATAGACGAGTTGTTATTAGGTAATCTTCTCACTAATGATAGAATTATAAATAAAAAAATACTTCATCAAAAAAGTTCTCCATCGAATCAAATGCTATTCCTACCTAAATCTGTATTATGATTTGAATACCTAAGCTATAAATCCGTGTATTAAAATGAATAGCCATATTATAGGTTCGACTTTGACTCTCAAGTCACAATATTAGAAACTAAGCTGGCAATAATCAGAGCGTGAAAGAGTTTCATTCGAGTTAAAGAAAAGTGCGACATTTAGTGATGAGAAAGATAAATCGAATTTTTGGCATACAATCCCTAGTGTACTCGCGTTTCTTTACGAATGACACTTCTCAGTTTTGCTTCTAATAAACATGATTACGGTGTATCTGATGCGCATCAGATTACTAGTCGAATGCGGAGGGGTCTTATAATTTATACAGATTTTATTATTTAATATTAGAGCCGAAAAGAAAACCATTTCTTCAATACTCTATATTGTGTTTTAGAATTGCTACCGGTTACGAACTTCTTGTATTGTATATATTGATATATAGGGAAGGACGGGGCAACTTCGTCACGATAAGAATTGGTTAAATTTTGTGTAACGAATACTGCTATAAACTGAAAGAAAAGCGTTGTTTATTGTCTACCAGAATGTAAAATTACTATAGAACTGGTTAAAATCAGTTTGGAAATAAAAATAATCATAATAATAATTTTATAAAAAGATAGCAATTGCCGAAGTTGCCCCCATACCAGGCCAACCTCGGCAACAGTTATGGGGTAAGATGGGCAGGTTATTTAAATATTATAAATTTGTGTTATTAACAATGTATAAGTTGGAATTCACTATTAAAACAAAGAAATACAAGTCCAAAAACATATTTAATATTATAACAACGAAATACAAGTTCGAAGGCATATTTAAGTAAAGAAAATGTAAACAAAAATTAATTATAAAAATTCAAACAGATAATAAATGAAAATATCCTAATGCAAGTTAAAAGCAATATAAATGAATTAGTGAACTCAAACAAACAGTAGAAATGAAATATGCTTAACAGCAAATTGTTTATGCCCTACACATATCACAAATAAACCAGCTCATTTTCCACATGTGTACAGCCACATCAGCCCACAGTTCACACTTGCAGCACATAATCCACTTTTCCCGAGTAGTTCCATATTATTTATTGCAACATATGCAATAAGTATTTTCATCGTCATTTTCCGGTTCTTTAGGACTTTTCTGCCCCTTTTCTTTAGTGAACTTCGAATGTGATTTCTCCAAATCTATTGTCCTTCTTCAAGTTCCCGATTTTCTAATTTGGCTTCTAATGTGGCTTTGTATGGGGATCCAGTTATTTCTTCTGCTTGTTCCTATTTGCGGCCAAATCAAAACATATCAAAACACGATCAGGAATAAGATCGGAAACACTGCCGAAGATGCCCCAATAGTCATGATTTAGAAACATTAAGTGGAATCATGAGAATAGGGTACCAAGCCATGATCTGGCCACGTGAATAAGTTAATGTTTTACCTTCTAACAGGAAAAATAACTTTCGTTATTATGGAATTATAAGAAAACATGCCAATTCTATATAAATGGAAGCAAAATATTATAAGAAATTGAATGAAACAGACAACTTATTAGATATTTTAGATACGCTTGTCGGAGAACAACACAG